AGACGAAGAGGAGTATTCTATACTTCAGAATCTCTAGACGTTCTTAGGAATATTTGAACAAAATTTAGGTTCGTTACATATGTATTTAATGCAACAGTGGAGAAGTGTAGTTCTTAAACTTAAAATGCTTTCCTCCAGGCTCTAATTCAATTGCTCAACGTTAAATTCTATATTTTTAAATTAATACAGTTTCATCGTCTCACAAGGAGTAAGAAAAAGAGTGAATACTTTTGTTTCTCAAATGTGGGTAAATGTTCATTTGGAGTATTGTTAACGTAAGGAAAATATTCGTTCTTTGATGTTGCATTTAACCCCTTAACCTATGATTTCTTTTCCGACTTTGCATCTAAGCGTCAGCCATTTTCTGTTTTAGTACTGTATCAGGCAACAAAAGTTAATCTGCTATAGATTAATTACATCTGGTAATTCTCAGTGTGATAAATTCGAACGAAAATTAGGATTACAATGAATTTTTCTTATTAATATAACTATTTTTGTCATACCTTGGGCAGAATCTTTGTCACGAGTGTGACAGGTTGCTATAGGTTAAGGGGTTCAACGAGAATAATAATGTCACATCGCACTTTCGTTCAATATTTACCTGGGATACAATTCCACTGTAACAGTTTAAATAACGTCAATCTAATAGAAAAATTCTTTATTATCTCGTACATCACAGGAATTTTAATAGTACGTACGTAAAAATGTAACTCTAATGCACTTCTTATTCCACACGAACGGAAGGTTTACTTTACAAACATTCTTTCTACGAAGAAGCCAATGCCCTCTATTCATACAGAAGGATCAAATAATGTAGTTTTTAATCCATCGCGTTATTTCAACAGCGGCTCTCCGTTACTCATCATAATACACACATCCGCGTACTTTTAGGAAAAAGATCTTTCGAAAGCATCTGCGTCCATATTATACTTCCTCCTCCGATATCGACGAAGGGAGGTTCGACAACGAACCAAGAAATTTTCATTCTCGTCGTGTGGCGGTGTCTGAGGAAATTTGTCGGCGGTAAGAGAGAAAGGCACTAATTTTCTGAGAAAATAAATGAGCTCTTAAAGAAAGAATTGTTCCTTTTTCATAGAGTTGTGGACAATTCTGACGGAGGATTGTTCTGTGATGCCTGGTTTTGCCTTAATTCCTCGAAACTGAGGGCAGGTATTGGGGTGGCACTTAAATCGGAGCAATTAGGGATCGACGTTGCGTGGAAAAGAAACTTTATTAAAACTGGTGGATGACGATGCAGAGAATGAGTCGAGGATAGAAAAATAGGGCTATTTAACCAAGATAACGTGTCAGACTCGTGGCAGAGATTCTGGTCAAAATGTGAGAAAAATAGTTATATTAGTAAGAAAAATTCATTGTAATCCTAACTTTCGTTTTAATTTGTAAAACTAAGCATTCCTGAATGTAATTAACCTGCAACAGATTAACTTTTGCTACTTGATACAGTACTAGAACATTAAATGGCTGACGCTTATATGCATAGTCGGAAAAGAAATCATAAGTTAAGGGGTCTTCCTACTGTGACGGTTGAAGAAAGCTCAATTTTTCGGAAATTTAAAGCAAAGAAAGTGCTACACATATCCTTTTGAAAATTTGTGTGTTTATTCTATCATCTTTGAAGAACACAAAAATATTTTTTACAAGTGGAAATATCCATTTGTTGTAAAATAGGAGCACCGCGAAGAGAGCACCTTGAAAAATATCCTTCCCGATTTGAACCTCGTGGACATATTTTCGAGATGTTAAAATATATGAAAATTTGAAAAAAAATTGATTTTCTCAACCCGTCACAGTAGGAAGACCCCTTAAGGGTTTGAAGATGATGAACTTTGGGTTATGATTGTGTAGGAGAGTTGGAAGATGAAGAGTCCAGTGTGAGCAATGGTGAAAGTTATAAGACTAAGACAAAGGCTATGAAAATATTTGAGAGTATAAAAGTTCCTTCTGCTAGTCGTCACACGAACAGACCCAGATTCTTTAGAATTCTTTCGGATAAAAGTGTAACGTTAATTTCGTTCTCTCCTAACATTCAGTCGTATCTGTGAAGTATAATTACGACGCACAAATAACCAATGCAAGTTGCACTTGCGGTAAGGTACAACTTCCATTTCAATTTATAGAATTGAGGAGCGCCGACCAGATGTCGCGTGCAATATTTCACGTAACAAGTACCAGCTAACTCTGATACATGTGACTGCGACAGAAATTTTCGGGCAAAGAACTAATACAGAAAGTTACGTACATTTTCGTGTTCTGAGTTGGAATCAGTTCTTCAGATATCTGAGAAATAAATAATTGATTGTGCAATGGATCGTGCTTCATGTGATGTTACATAAAAATATTTTCTCGCGAATGAAAGTACATTGACTTCGGTTCGAAAAATTATCAATTGATTGATCGGGCGATTCGAGCAGCAGATAATACAGGTTGCAAAGTGGTTAGAGGATTGGATGCTTCATAAAGCTATAAAGCTACCTCACTTTCGGTACTGGCAGTATATTCTTATTCATTGTGTGTATTATATTGTATTTTAACAGTATTCTGTATCACAAAATATTAGCTTTGCTGAAAAGTTTTTAACAAGTTCTTAATAACTCGTGCACATAGCAATCTGATTTCAGACAGAATTTGCTAAGATTTCTCTGGTATAATAATTGAATATTAAATAATTGGAGAAGCTCTTCTAGCAAAATATTTGAAAGGCACAGTAGCGGTGTTGTAAAATGTTAGGTGTGTCTTTGATTTAATTTCAGAGTGTCAAAAAAACAACCACTATATCACACACTCGTCTGCCAGTAAATTTTAATATTCACAGCAGAGTGTTTAGATTACTAGACGTCCGATAGTTTCTGGATCGATCAACGAAAAAATCAGTTCCTAGCAATAATTAGAATAAAAAACGACATTAGTTTGCAAAGCTACCATTTGAACAATTGAACAGGCGCCTATAAACAATTTTTATCGAATCCAGTTGTGCACATTACTCCGTATTGCATTTATAATACAAATCTACACAGTAAAACGTGAACAATTTCAACATCGAATTATTGTCCGTTACTCAGGAAGAATTAGTATTAGTAAAAAATAGTTCGACTATCGATGGCTTCGATAGCTACGCGTTTACCTTGGATCTAATCGCACTGGTCTAAATTCACGAGTACAGAGTTCTTTCTTACGATCGAGTGAAGTAGAGAAAAAGAATTCTTCTTTCAAGCAGAATTCTCAAGTTAATTGTGAATTTACCATTGTTTATCGTGACGTAAATTTAATTTATCGCGATTTACACAGAATAAAATAAATCAATGAAAAATGCTGAATGTGAAGATTCCATACTTTACTTGAACTTTGTAATTATTTTTCAATTTTACTCGAAGAATTTTGTATTATTGCTAAGATGTGTGTTAAATAGAAGATTCACTCTTTTACATATTCTTGCATGTGTATATTTGCATATATCGAGCTTTCTGTACGTTTAAATGCAGCACGGGAGCTACCAAGTAAGTTTTAAATATCCGATTTAGAAACGACAAGTGTATTCCTGTTCGGGACAGGTCACAATACAGTATCAGGTGAAGGCGTTCCGGTTTAGGACGATCAATGTGAGGTTGTTTTAGACGAAGGTGTTCCTGTTTGGGAACATTCAAGACACCAAGCGTATTGGTATTTCAGTTGCAAGTTTCAGCTTACTGGATTATTTCGAATCACCTGACTCACTTGCTTTTCTCTTTAAAAATTGAACAAGTTCGAAACACCTTCAACTTTTCCTTAGCCTCTCAGTTGTGAAGAAGAACGAATGATTATTTTTAAGCTACATAATAAATTATGCGTCCCTGCGTATTTATTCAATCATAATTATAAATGTTATCAAAATTATTAGTCCAACATTGAAATAAATTTCAAACATTCTTACTTTCCTCAAATGTCAGCAAAATTTCGTTTAGAACGTATATTCAACGCTTCCAAAATTTTATTTACAATGTATACTTAACGCTTCCAAAATTTTATTTACAATGTATACTTAACGCTTCCAAAATTTTATCAACGTAAGATATCAGTTTCGAAACACAGACTTTTGAAAATCTTAAGCATACTAAATTCACTCCACTTAGGAATATCGCCTACAAACATAATAACGTTCACGTTGATTTCTACTGGTAATAGAAGAAAAATTGGCGGGAAATGATGGAATCATTCTGAGCGATCATTTCGTCCTCCTAATGACGCGGATAAAAGACTTCTACGAGGGGTAGTTCTGAAAGACTCTTTTTTTTCGCGGTACACAGAGCCGCAAACGGCTTTGTAGCCGGAGCCAGGGTTTTTTTTTTGAAACGGCATCAGGTGCATTCCTGTTTAGGACGTCCCATAACAGGATAATGTTTCACTTCGTATTAACGTTTCAGGTATGCTCATTGTCATTCCGCACCCCTGTTCACCTGAAGAGTTTCACATTCACGAGAGGCCTCCTTTTGTCCTCCCTTTTCAAACGAGCCATTGACGAAACTCGAATATCTCCAACGACGTTCGTCCTTTCACCATATGAATGATAAAGCCGGGTAATTAACACATTACCACGATACTTTTGTCGAAAGAAAGAACACTTTTGTTTGCTCGTTGCAATTTCCACAGAAAATAGAGAATCCTTCGGTGGAGCACAGGTAGAGCGCTAAAATCAATTCGATATTTCTACCTTTCCTGCGTATAGCAAGCTTCACTTTATTCGTAAAAATGTTTCATCGATGAGTTACAAAAATATGAAAAATAAGAAAAAAAGGATATTTTTGTACGAATATTGCTTATACTACTTAACCACTAAATAACAACAAATTAAGGATCCTTTCTATACGAACGCAAACTACGAATCGATCCCTTGATGGTTTCTACAATCACATCAGACCCATCTTCGAAATTCTCTCAACAACTATCCGCTAATCACAAGTCACAAAATTCGTAAGTCTAAGAATTCCATCGACCGATGATCAAAGTTACTTTGCACCCTTAGCGAAAGGACTCTGTCCGTTTGTGTTCAAGTAATATTTGCCTTTGAGTTTGAAGTTTGGCTCAGCACCCCCCATAAGACCGTCAGGGTTCGAATCGCATAAACCCAAAGTGTAATTCTGATAACTCGAACAACTTTTCGCTACAAAGCCCACTTTACTATTAATGGATTCCGCGTAGTACTGGACAGAACGCAAGTGTGAACACGAGCCACCGATGTCCACTATGCACCCTTTTTGAGCAGAACCACCGTTCGGAAAGAAGTCAGCATGACCGAGAGCATTGAGGAAACCCTCAAGACCGCCGTTCGTGTGTATCACCTCTACGAAAGCCGCATCTTCGGCGGAAACTCTTCCATCTGGACCGGATAAGAGGAAGTTGGGCTCAGCTGGATCCAGAGCTGTGAAAAAAATGTTGAAAATCTTTATTACGACAGGTCGTTGCTTTGTGTATTTATACGCAATTATTTAAATGATACAGGGTGTAAATGATTCGAAAGAAACTTTGGGACTAATTCTTTGTCGATTTGAAATTGACGTCGCGGAGATCAGAATGTAAGAATTTCTTAAAATTGCCAACTCATTCGTGGAAACTTTTGCGTGACTTGCAACGCACGGTGATTCCATACTCGTAAAATGAGTTACGTTTGATGTGTAAGACAAAGGATATTAAATTCTGCATTTTCGATCGATCAATTCCAGACGAAATTTTCAACGACTAAGAAACTTGGTCTATAAGTTGTAAAATAATATTGGGGATCGTTAACTTTCCAGTATCGTCAACAAAACAGTATTAAGAATTTAAAGAAATCAACGTGTTATTAAAATTGACGATAATAAGGAAAAGTGGATGGATGATAGACAATTGACGATGAAAAATAAAAGTGAAAAATGAGATGTAGAATAATTTTTAATAAAATGGAAAATAAAGGAACAATGACTGCACTCACCGACGACGTAATTCACTTTGGTTTTCGCGTAGTAAGCTGCCAGTCCGGCTACGTGGCCCCCAAGAGAATGACCAACCGAAGTCACCTGAGAAGTATTCATTCCTTGCGACACAAGGAAGTCGATCATCTTAGACACGTACTGAGCAACCATAACAACTCTATTGCTGCTCCAAATATACGGCATAATCGATATCGCACTCCAGTCAGTCACGATGATATTGTAATCGCCGTGTGTCACGAAAGCTGTAAAGCGGAGAAGCGTGAAAAGCGGAAAGTATCGTACCGAATAAGCGTACACTCAGTGTATAATGCACTCGAGTTATTTCAAAATAATCCAAACTTCAAATTGGTAAAATTTGAATCTTCTCTCTGATCTTCGAATTCAAATTTCACGACAAAATCGTGAAAATCAGATTTTGCAAAATTTTCTAATTTTCTGTTAGTCACTTAGGAGTTTAAACGATAAATTCAATATTTTGCACAAATAAAAGCGTACCGCTAACAACCAGCGTGCAAGATGGACTGTTCCGAGAGTTCATCCATCCGTGAGTGACAAATTTTGTCTCCTTTTTCGGATCAAAATGGCTGTTCTTCACGGAATCAACATTATTCAAGTACAACAGCTCGGGATTGTCCACGGTTTTTTTCGTGTGTAAATAGAAGAAAATGCTACTTTTCAGTTTGTCTTGAGTTTCTTCCAACGTTTCCGGGTTCGTTTCACTAGTGTTTAATGGAACGACGTTGCCGTTGTCGTCGAACACGGCTAAGATTTCGGAGGAATTGTTCCCAGCAGAAGTGATAGTGGTGTCCACATGTTTGTCGTTATTCTCTGCCTGTGGCAGAGCTGTGAACGATATTGAACGTGTTAATTAGAAGTAAGCAGCTACAAAAGATGCACGATCATTTAATAATATCGTCTCGTGAAAAAGCGAAGTAATGAATTATTTTTCATATATTAAAAATATTAAACAGAAATAATTCGGTTACTCGACAAAATTCTGGTTGTAAGTTTAGGACCTGTGTTTCCAAAACTTCCTTTAATCTACTTGGCAATGAAAATTAAAAACTGCAACATTCCTGGTACGAAATACGCAGTAAGGAGAAAATTGATACGTTAACAATTGCAAAAATTATTAATCAACATTAGACGAAAGTAACGGCGCGGAAGATGTTTCTACGATAGTCGAGAAAAGCAGTGTTTACCAAGGACAGAGCAAATAAACGTGAAATCAATCAGGGCGTGCACCTTCATGATTGAGATGATTTTACTGGTAATGCCTACCTGGGGCTCGCTTATAAAGGAATCGTTCAAGAATTGATCAAGATGTTGATCACATTGATAAGATAAGGTTTCATTGTTGCGGTTGAATGTCGATCTGTGATTACGGGGAGAGCAGATGTCCTTGGAATATCATATTGAGGAAAACACATAATTGATAACAGATGTATGAATAATGAAAGGAGAAATATTTGCGTAATACTAGTTCTGACGTAGTAATCCAGCAAAGTCGTTTCACAAAACGTCGGTTAAGTGTGTCGAAAAATCATAAAAGACGATTTTTACGTTATCATCTGTGTCATTTGCGTATTGACTTGAAAAATAAGACTATTTATTACTACACTGCAAATATGTACTTGCCTTCGTGACAATTCTTACGCTCGTCATGGAATCAAAATTAGCATCATATTACGTGCTACTCTTATCTCGTTTTGAAAATATTATTGCAACATAAATAATCTTTGGAGCAACACGCTGAACGGTGAATTTTGAAGATACGAAACAGCATTTGGACACTGAAAATTGTTACGTTCGTTCTGCGTTCTTCTCGATAATAACCATCCCGTTTCGCGATACCTTTTGGATGTTATGCAGTACATAATTACGGAATACGCGATATTCGCCAATTTGGTTAAGATTAGATATGTAGCCGTTTCATTGTGTAAGTGCAACCGTATGTAGAGCGATGATCGATTACACGTTACTAAAACTGTGATATTAACCCTTTGCACTCGGAGGTGATTTTACTGTAGAAAAGGTTGCAAATCGGACATTTGAAATTTTTTAAAACTAACGTAGAAATAAGGTGCACTATTTTATTTAAATATTCAACGTATTCTCTACTTCACTGTGGCGAAGAAATTTATAGAGGCCCGTAGATCTGTTCTCGGTCTTCATTAATTATTCACCAAGTGACGATTATTTAATGTGGCTTCTCAGTCGCCACTCGATTGCAAAGCGTTAAACTACAATCCCTAGAATTTACCGGTAGAAATCATAGTTTCCGTTTATTTACGCTAATTACAGTGTGATAGGGAAAATATTGCTTCCCATTTATTAGCGTTATTTATTTACAAACATTTTAGAAAACGATCATTAGAAAACGTTTTACAAAGTGATTTACGAATAGATCAGATACCACTCCTGTGTATTTCACGAGTAAATTAAATACCAATATTGTGTTCGTTAAATAATTAATACCGAATATAAATATAAAGCCGAAGACTGTAATTCCTCGGATTAACGTTATAAACAGATTACGATAAAATCGCGTGTAACATTTTTCATCGAGCAGGAAACCGAAGTATGAACATTTGATAGAATAAGCTTTCGTCGATCGTCTTGACTGAAATTAACATGTCAATTAAGTAACAATGATCCGTTCTACTCGTGACGCTTAAATTACATTGTACTAGCGCTAAAGATAACAGGAGGTGTCGCTTCACATTTTGCACAGTTTGTCCGGAAAGTTTGCAATTCTTTTTTTTTTTTTTGGAAATTCTAATTGGTAACATTTCAAGCAGTTACCGACACATCTTACAATTAGTTAGTTGCTGTCGTTTTATGCTCGTGCTCTCTTCGCTCACGCGTCACGATGGAACAACGATTAAGTTTTGTTCCAAGTCTGGCAAATCTGCGTCGAAATCTTTAGTGCAACAAACGTGTCACAATGAGCGTTTAACAATTGTGCACGAGTGTCGAGAGTTGTTGGAAGATGATCGAAGACGTGAGCCTCCCTGCATAAACAAGCCTGACAAAAATGTGCATGTTGGTGACGTTCTTGTTACAGATCGACGTTTAATACGCTGTAGTAACCAAAGAAACGATTCGTTTTACAAGGAACTAATGGAACGATTGCTCAAAATTATGAAAGTGGTCAAAGTCAAAAATCTAGAACAACTGAATTTATCATTTATCTTGCGTTGATCTTTTTATGGAAAAGAGTTAAGAATTATAAGAGCAACTATTTCGTGAAATATTTCCTTGCACAAGGAAAAAATATTTTTTAACAGACACAAAGGGAGAATTCTAAATATTTCGAAACAAACAGTATACGACTTAGGCCACTTTAAAAAACACAAAGCGAACAATGGTTTCTTCTGGAAGACAAAGTATCCACACACATTTCGACAATAGCGAGCGAATTTCTAGCGAAAAAGCAGGTGACAATAATATTGCATTCGCTTCATTCGCCGGATTTACCTCTAACAGACTTCTTTTCACTCTCAAAAAATCCAATTTCTGACGAAGAGAGAACGATACTTGTTCATTTTGGAAATTTGAAGATCAGTAACGAGCTGTTTAAAAGCCACCCTGAAAAGTAATTTCCCTAAGCGTTTCAAAGACTGCAAGCTGTGTATCGAAAGGTGTACAAGAATTTAATTTACATTCAAATTTGTTTATATGCAAAATGTGTGTTTTTGTTGAATTATGCTCGAAATCTTCCCGGGACAAACTGTGTATGCTTAGAGAAGTATATGTTCAGAAACGCAACAGCCTCAGCCGGTTTATAATTTGCAAATAAGAACATTTGTGACCCCTTGTCTTTGTGTTACATGAAAAAATTGAGAAAGTTCGTCAGGTGGTACATAATTAACACGCTGAACAGGCAAGTAATCAGCTAATATTGAATCTGCGTTTTGATGCTTTTCTTTTGTTTACTAAATTTGAGTACCTATAGCAAGTAAATGGGGAAGGTTTGAAATTTTTTATTTGCCTTTCATTATTTTTAAGTCGTTTAATAATTTTGCATAACGTATTACAACTACAATATGAAGATTTATAAATAACACTTTTCATTCAATTACCAGAATCTTAACTACGTATTAGTTTCAAAACAGAAATGAAACAATTGTTTCTTCCTGAAACACGTTCCAGAAATAATCGCCAATTTGAAGAATTGTTCAGTGTTTATATTTTCTTACAACGAGTCGTTACAAGAAAACGACGTGGAAAAACTTTCGTTACCGTACACGTAGTACTTGCAATACAATTATATTTTCTTATCAGGACAACAAACTGCATTCTGTTCGCGTAATGACAATTTTCATCCCCTCTATTGCACAGTTTCTCTTAGTATAATATACGCTACACGATCACAAACTATCGATCCCTTTTTTCCCTTTAAACAAACCGCATCGTACGTTGACGCTTTCTGTTAGTTAATTTACTGCAAACACCGGATGAAACGATATCGTATGCGAAATAACGGAAGTTTAATTCAATAAAAGCAACACAACGAGCAACGCTAATTTATTCATTTACATCAACATTATGTAAAACACGTGAAATTTTGATTCCACATATCCTATCGTAACAGATCCCTTTCCCTCAACAGGTCTTCAAATAATTTTAACAAAGAACCGCGAAACACGTAATAACTTTCCAGTCGCAATTCCACTGTCCTGTAAAATTGTTTCTCAATATAAAAAGAAAAACACACACGTGAAATATCATTTTTATTTTTGCATTTGCTAGCATATCTCTTTCCATTTGCCATCATTGCGAATATTCTCTTTCGTTATTTCAAGTCATTTAATAGTTTAATGTAGCATATTACAGTTCCAATATGAAGAATTAAATATATTTTCAAAATGATAGCAAACAAATTTCTTACTTCATCACTGTTACTATTATTGAGCATTACGGAAATTATTTGAAGAAAAATTGTTTAATTTCAGTGGAGTTACGATTTTCTCAAAATGAATATTCAGGATGACACAACAGCTTCCTTTTGTTTTCTCTCATCTTGTGACG